TTGGTTATTGAGATAATTAGATATTTTACAATTTTAGTTAAATGTAATTATCTTGTGATCCAGTAATTCAAATTTAACGATTTTGATACCATTCGATTCGTCTCGATGAGACGGTTTGAATGATATCAAAATTGTTAAAATTGGATTATTGGACCACAAGATATCATCGATTTTGTTATTTTTTGTATTTTTGCAGATCTTTACTATATACGTTTTTTTACGTAAATTATGGATGACCCCTAATCAATTTTTACTTGTATTTTATCAAATCGGTAAAATATAGATGATCATGTATTTCTGGAATTTGTAACAAAGATATGATCGAGAATTTTTCGTTCTGGAAAATTTGACTGACCTGAGGTCTGCAAAGTGATCAGCAATCATTAACGGAAAAATTTGTTATATTTAACAAAATGGGTAACATCAAAATCGAATAATTATACATGATAAAATTCTTTTTGAATGTATTAATATTCTCTATATATTATGAAAACTGCGAATGTAATGATAACAAGATTGATGTTGCCTTTATCATTTATTGTCGCAGATTAAAATGAAATCTGATCAAAATAAAACTGGAGACCTCTCATACCCACCCTTAGAGCGTATAAAACCCACATATACTCATTTATTAATAAACCTAACCCTAAACACTACCCCTAATGCTAAAAAGAACCCCAAAAAATGTCCCCAAAAAATTTTAAATTTTTCTTAAAAAACAGAAAAATTTCGTTTTGATCAGATTTCGTTTTAATCTGTGACATTTATTATACTCCGCTTATATTATTTTTTTTTTCTTTACGATTTTTGTATTGCCTGTATGAGGCTTGTTATAACTTATTTCTGAAAGAACTCGCAAATTATGAGCGTTACTGTAGCGCGCACTCCTTCTATTTCTCACCGTTCGGAACTCTTGATTGGTGTTTCTAACCATCAATTCATGATAAAAAAACAATAGATGAAATCAGTAAAAACAAATCAAAAATAACAAATAGTTCTATTACTTACAGCCCAAGTCACAACTGCTTTAAAAAAAGATGGAAATAAATCAATGCTTTCCAGGTCCATTGGAACTTTGCATGTTTCGATTTCGAAAAGCCGATATTTTTCTAAAAACAATAAAAAAATTTTGTTAGCAAAACAATCTCTTCTTGCAATAATATTCATAAATATATATACCTAAATAATCCATAAAGTAAAATCTAAAACTTAATCTAATACACTGCACCATATAGGCCTTAAATTGTAAAGGCGGAGCTCGCTTCAATTTAACTTCAGACACAACAGTGTAATTTATTATATCTTTTCCTGTCTTTGCATTCTGAACAAAATCAGATATTTCTTTTGTGTCATCAACGACATATAGTCTAGATCCTTCTATAACATATATTTCATATTGTTTTTCAGTAGTAATGTAAGCAAGGCCGTCTGAATGATCTGCATATCCCTCCTGTCTTATTACTAGTTTTCTATACACAGATGCTTGTTACCTCTATAAAAAAAAAAAAAAATCAAAACTTAATATAATAATATAAAAAATATTGTTAGGAATAATACTTACAGTATATAACGAATATTCGAAAACCTACGCAACGCCTTCTTTAGAACGCGATGGATGTATGTGTTCATGTACTCTTCTTCTAACATATTGTGATTTTTGAGTGGATTATCATAGAGCAATGAAAATGCATCAAAGCTAAAGGACAAATAAAAATGTCAATAAATAATGGTTTCAGCTGAGAATAATAAAAGATACTTACAAGATGGGTAACATTTTGAATAATAGTCTTTTCAAATTTTTAAAAATTGTTCTTCTTCCGGTTCTAATAAGCTTTCTAACTTATCATCCCATTGTTCATGAGTACAATTCTGCCAAAATATAAATAGCGATGATGTACTTGACAGGCAAAGAGACAAATTACCACTAGATGGTATAAAAAAATACCTCTGAAAAAAAATCATCAAGGAACTTAATAGCGCTTTCTGGAAATAGCTCATCAACAGACTCAAAGGTTTCTTTTAGAACTTGCATATAGTTATCTTTATCTGTATATCTTAGTACGAATTCTAAAGACGGAGTAAGATCCATAATTTCGTTCTGAGTTAACTCATTGACAGATTCATTACAATATTTTTAAAAACATTCCACTAAAGTTTTCATTTTTTCTGAACTACGTAACTCATTTAAGAGATTTTTAACCTGACTGTGATCGTTATCATTCTGTAAATTCATTTTAATTGTTTAGATATTTCTATGTCTACACAAAGTAAATAAAGGATTACAACACTTACCAAATTATTCTTATTTTCTTCTGTCTGCTTCTTTACACCACTATCCTTAACTTTACAAGATTTTGAATTTTCTTTCTCAATATAGTCATCATTTTGACGTTTCTATAAAGAGAAAAGTATATTGTTAACTACTCTTAAAGAATTGTATATTATAATATTCATAATCTTATCAGATTTTTGTCATTGTCACCTGAAATTTCCATTTGTTTGGATAATTCATTCATCTGATACAATGAAGCAGTGCTCATCACTTTTAGAGTGTTTAATTGTATGTCAACATTTGTATTATACTGTTTAACAATATACAACAGTATTAAATGAATTAACGATTGAAACATATCCACTAATCATTATATACCTGTTGTTGTTTTAGAGTTCGTTTCTTTTCAAATTGATCACAGAATTCTGTGGCTTTTAAATCCTTAAATAAAAAAATAAATTATCTATTAGCCTTGCTTTATTTATATGAAATTATACAAAGATCATTGATGCTTGCTATATATTGCACCGAGGGTGTCACCTAGCTCCAGAAGTTAACAGGGTGTCACCTGCTTCCAGTGGTGCAATGCATAAGTACAAACACTGTATATTGTACCGAGGGCGTCACCTAGCTCCAGGAGTTAACAGGGCATCACCTGCTCCCAGTGGCACAAATACAGTTTGGAAATAATCTAGCACCGAAATCTGACCTGAATAAGAAGAGTTGATGCAATAGTATATTTTTCTTCATCCGAATGATCTTTTGTGATTTTACTTAAATGTTTGTTAAATCATTTCTTCCATAAAGATTTTAATGCACTCAGTCTGGTGCTGTTATTAATGTAAGGTTCCATGGCCTCGAGATACCCAGAATATGACCATTCATTTGTAGGAGTTGATGTAAAATATTTCTCTCCTGCAATTTGTGATATCTTGTATTGTGATGACATTGTTTAGCGCATAAGTAAACAAACAGAGATTTAGAGATATTACTTATTATGAGTAGATTAGAGTCCACCAAAATTTTTTTGATCACGTGACAACAACAAAATTCTTTAGTGTAGCATTGAAGAAGTTCGTTTTGATTGGCTAAAATTAGAATAAATATGATTGGCGACGATCATTTATTTATACAGTTAATTATAATTTTTAAAATACTTTTATTAGTAAAAATTGTCATGTCATATAAAAAAATTTTTTTGTAATACGTGGTGAAATAACGAACTTAAGCAACTGATTTTTCACCTTTAAACCTACTGTTTTTTAATATGAGATACAGTGAGATACAAAAGATCAAGAATCTAAATGATAAGTGAATATTTTGAAGGGTCGGAAGGTGGTTCAGTGACTAAGTAATGAGT